TTCTGCTAATTGTTCCCTGCACTTGAATAAGAACATTAAATCCCCTTGATGTTTGGCCACAGCCAGTTTTACTTCATTTACAGTTACTGTTTCTTGTTTATTTCTAACTAATTGATCAATACATGTATCGCTGCAAACTATAATATAAATGCAATCCTGTTTCTGATAAGTACAGAGAGATGGCAATTTACAACATTAATATTATTTAGCCAATTAATCACAAAAATTACTATAAGGGCATCTTATATTTGAAGTAAAAAAGTAAAACATAATAATAACTAACTACTGAAAGACCCTAATCCAGAGATGTGGAGAGAAAGAGTAGAGAGAAGGTCAAACGTGCCTACTGCCACACCTTACTGACTGCCTGTACACGGCACAAGAGGAGAGGGAGAGACCCTGGTGCTGTTGGCAGAAGAGTGATCGACTCTGAGCAGCCTACATGGGAATGAATCACAATAAAATATATTGCAATGTATTTTTCGCCTTGTCCCTGATGGTTTGAATGAGTCGCTAAATTTGTTGCTTTTTAGAAGTAAAGCGGAAACAAGGCCTGAAAGGTCGCTAAAACTAGTGAGAAAGTTGCCATGTTAGCAACACTGGTCTCACCAGTGCCACTACACATTTTCACACATTGTATCTTTGTGTCTCAGGTGTTGTGTATATTGTCCCCGGGACAACGAGACATCCTTGCTTAAGAGCGCCGATTACAGTCAAGCTGAGGGGTAAAAGCAGTACAGTTTGGTTTTATAGGAAGTTATTTCTCTGACTACTTTTTGGCTGGCCACAGTAACTTTGTAGATTTTTTCTATGGCAATTTTGGCATTTTCTGGGGGGTAAATGTCTGCCTAAAAAGACATAAAACAAAAGCATTACAACCTTTTTATATGTCACGCAGTTTGCTCTCCAGCCTGAAAACTTGTTACACTTGTTTCTCAACTTCATTGCTTCTGTTGTGACTGCTCTCTGCCTTTTATAAGGCAGTGTAGGCTCCTGTGTTCAGTCTTTATGCTAAGCTAAGTCAACCAGATGCTGGTTCTAGCTACGTGTTTACCATACAAACAAGTGAGTGGTGTCAAACTTCTCATAAGTTTCAGCAAGAAAAGCAAATAAGCATATTTCCCAAAATGTCGACTGATTCCTCAAGGCTTGACAACATTTGTCGTATCCTCTGTAAACTCTTTACATAGAGGTTGAATAACCAAATATAAACTTTATTCTGCAGTAGTCAGGCAGCGAAAGCAAGTCAGATATATTGTTGGCTCTGTTTATAAGTTCTGATGCAATGGTGACCTTTAGCTCTGTCAGCAAGTCACTGTAGATAAGTGGTGTATAAGTCAAGCATAAAGCACTTTTATAACTCATATTTGTTTAAATATGCTGCAGTGTAGTTGGCACATCACATGATATTACAAAACATCATGCCGGAATTTTCCTGAGCAACCGTATATCTAAAAATCCAACTCATGACTGAACAAGTGTGATGTGTTCTTTGACGACAGGAGAGGATGCAGCTTCTCCCATGAGCTGGACTCTGGTCCCAATCAGAGGATACTGAGAGACCATGGGCTGCACAGTCTGAGCAGGGCGGAGCTGTGCACACTGCTGCTGCAGAGCGACGACAGGCTCCTCCCACCTGTAAGTCTCACAGAGTCCATCAGAATAAAATGGTGTCAATATCACAACCGCAATTTCCTATCCGCCCTTTTTTGCTTGTTTGCTATGCTTGATTGTAACCTCCTTTTCTCCCGACACCAGATATGTTTCGATTACAACAATGGTGACGGGGAGTTCGGCCGTTGTCAGGAAGGTTATGGTTGCAAGAGAATGCACATCTGTGAAAGGCACCTGAACCGTGACTGCAGCTGCGTCAGGATTCATGACTTTAATGCTCCACAGCCATTAAAAAGTCTGCGGGATAAAGGCGTGCCGGACGAACTCATTCCCTCCATGAAATCAGTTTATGCAAATATACTGGCTTTGAAGTACAATGACAGAGGCAACCATCAACCGAGAGGTGGTTACAGGGGCAACAGAGGCAACCTGCCACAGAGAGGTGGTTACAGGGGCAACAGAGGCAACAGGGGAATCAGGGGAATCAGGGGCAACAGAGGAAACAGAGGAAATCGGGGCAACAGAGGAAACTTTAGTCGCAGCAGTTCCATCAGTGACATCGTTGATGATATCGATGCCTTGGATCTGTACACTGAAAATGGACTTAGTAAAGACAACCATGATCAACAAAACTCCTCCACCAGCGACATCTCTGCCACTGCCAACGACACTGATGCGAGCAGCGACGATGGTCAGAAAAGAAATCGAACACGAAATCGAAATAGAGGGAGAGGTGGCAACCACGGCAACAGGGGCAAACAGGGACTGCCGCAACGAACCCGTTCCACAGACGACACCCCTGCTGCTGGCGGCGACAATGCAAACGCAGACAGCGGGCCGTTCAGAAGAGAAAGGCCTGTCAGAGGTAAACTACGCCAGCTGCAATAGCTTTCATTAAGACGATTTTCTGAAAGAACTGTGTGAAATGTAAAAGAAACGAAACGCTTTATAGTGTACTTTGTGTTTGTTTCAGATAAAACTGAGATCTGCATGTACTTCATCAAAGGCCACTGTAAACATGAGGGTGAGTAGCAATAGTAACAGCAATAATTACACTTACTTTGGTCATCAGTTCGGTGACACTAAACCTGTTTTATGACCGATGTGTCCTCAGACCGTTGTTTTAAAGCTCACAGCAAGATGCCGTACAGATGGGAGGTCAGAGAGAACGATCAGTGGACCGCCATGCCTAATAATGAGACGATTGAGAAGGACTACTGTGACCCTAACAACACATACAGGTACTCTCTACTGATACTGAATGGGATTGTAGTCCTGGGAGAATGTTTTTACAGTGTATTCTTTAAGAACCAATTTCCAATCTTAGGCCTACAGTAAACCCAATCCTCCAGTTTTCTTTGGCAGTTGCTAAGGGGGAAATAAAACTACTTTGTTGGGTGGAACAGAAAGCAGAAAGGGATCATGCGCAAATCAATGATATATTAGTTATGGATAGAGAGATATTTTTCACTTTATTAATGGGGTGGGAATGTTTAAAAAAACTACCTGAACTCACAATTAAAGATCTTTTTCATGCTTAATTTTGAAAAACAGAAAGATTCCTTTAGATATAATTACAGTAAATAAGATTTATTTTTCATGGATCTGATGTTTCAGCAAGCTAATATATTGGTGTAAAACAATAGATTGAAATGAACTGAATTGTGTGAATTAACAATTACTCCTTTTGCCGTCTTTAGCAGCAGCAGCCCTGTGCATTTTGACACGATGACCTGTGGCCCCAACAAAGTGCGTCGGCTCTCTACAGTTAACTCTTTGCTTGAGCCAACCTTCATCCACACCACCGAGTGGGTCTGGTACTGGGAGGATGAGTTCGGAAAGTGGAACATGTACGCTTCAGCTGTGAGTAATGAGTCATTGTTAATCAGATTCAGCGGTGATCATGCAGTGGTGATATGGCATCCATTCACAAAATGGAAGCAATTTACTGTATTCTGTTAAAGCTGTTCTAATTAATATTTTTTTATAGAAACAATGGATCAGGTGACCATTTGTAATGTTAAAGGGGTCACTCGTAATGATGAACCCATGAAGAATTATTGCTGTTGTCCTCAAAACCTTTTTAGGGTTTTTCAGCTTGTTGTTTTGGTTTTATAGCCTGCTTTAACTTTACTGTTTTGTATCATCACCAAATGGCTAAAAGGAGAGTAAATAATAGTTACATTCATCAGATAGACATAAACACAAAACTAATGAATGGTAATGTTGCTAACTGACTGCTGGATGTGTAAATAAGCAACTGTTTGCTAACACGTTCGCAGGGATAGAATTTGTATTTCAAATGGTTTTTTCATGACCTTCGTTATGTGAATATTCTGAAATGAAGATGTCCCAGTATTCCCAATCTGCTACACTGATATTGTAACCGATCATGTTACCGGACCATTTTAAGGCTGATCAAAGTCTAAAGTCATTACTCTAATAACGCTGCGTCATAAAAACCTTGTAAATCTACCTTGTTGAAACATTGAAACAGTTCCTTGTGAGTGAGCCAACAGTGGAGCAATGTGAAAAAACAGCAGCAGCAGTTTCATTGAAGATGACAACATGCCTCGGCAAGCGAAGCAAGTGTAGCTGATTTGGGCTAAAAATGGCCACTTTTTTTACCTCTATTTCAGTGACATTTTGTAGGCGTACCACAATCCTAAATGCTGCTGTAGTGACAACAACTCGCTGCAGCAAACTCACTCCAATAAATCTCGCGCATGATGAGAAAGAAGTGAGGCTATCCGAGCTTTGCTCTGAAGTGGAATTTATAATGTGATGTTGGCCTTCTGATGCAATACTCAGCTATCTGAGCTACACTGGCTGTGGTCCATGTGGACTTTCACAGCGGTTGGGAAAATGAGCGGTCTCAGATTCTGCCTTTTAATGGGACAGACATTTTAAAACTCCAATCATAACAGAACTGAACTTCCAACTTCATCTCTCCCACTCATGGTCTACTAAACCTGCTCTGAACTGACAACTACACGTGTTTACATAACCCTGCAACTCTTTATATTCTGTTTTATCTGTTTCATGTTTATAGTAGACATTTCTTTGCTCCCTGCTATATTCTCCTGCTTAAGCTGCTCATTACTAAGTTTTAATCTTATCTTTTATGCCTCTACAGCCACGCAAAAGAATCAAAAGAGGCAGAAATGCTTCCACACTTCCAGAGTTGTGTGCACAGGCTGTGTGGCAGATTAGCAGCAGTGGAGATTGTAGTCAGATTGCATAAATTTGAATTTGTCATGCTCATATTGGACTGATGAATTAAGAAATAAAGTTTTAAAGGCATCTGGTGGAGCTCCATCAGCTAAAGCTGAACAATCCTCCAACTTTCAAAGCTGAGCATTTCTTATGAGTTTGTCTTTTGTCCTCCAGGTTTACACTTCCTGAAACAAACAGTTACAGAATTCAGACTTCTAGAGAAACTTAAGAACACAGCATGAAAATTATGAAAAAAAGTCAATAATTGTCTGGTCAAAACCGAGGATAGGATGTCCACCAAAGTCAGATGAAATCCTGGACCAGACTACATACTACAGAGCAGCTGCTAACATTAGCTTAGCTTGTTCCTCTGATAACTTAAGAAATCCTTCACCCCATTAAAATAAAGAGTTGGAAACAACCAAGATCTCAAAAGTGTTTTGTAAAATTGTGGCTTAAAACTGAAAAAAAAAAAAGTCAATTTATGACGCATGCACAAAGGGGATCTGACCCTGTAAAAATGTGAACATTGTCAGAATCATTTAGGACAATCTAAGTACACAATGGTATAGTATAGTGTTTTTAGACATTTTAATGTTACATATTATAGCTTTAAAGTATAATCTAATCCTCATTTACCTCTAATCTCACTTGTTTAATTTGTACAGAAGTCTAAAAGAGTCACGTTGTGGTTTTAAGGGGCAACTGTTACTTGACTCTGATGGCTGCCTGGTAGGTGAATTTGGTTTCCATCAGACCATCTGGTTAGCTGTTTCCCCGTGTCCACTCTTTATGCTAAGCTAAGCTAACTATATTCTATGAGTTAAAAACAGATCTTGTGTGGCAGGATGGTGGACACAAAGCAGCAGACATGGACAGCGCTAAACTGGAGCAGAGGTTTCTGGACAATGACAAAGATGTGGTGGAGTTCACCGCCGGTTCACAGTTATACTCACTCAGTTTCCAGGGTAAAAAGATTATGCAATTGAGCTCTGTGTTTACAATTTACAGATTCTTAAAGCAGTATTATAATGTCTTTTTTATCTCCTCAGACATGATACAAACAAACCAACGGTACAGCACTAAGAGGGTTGTGAGAAGACGGCCCCGGTTTGCCTCCACGGCTGATGTTCAAGCAAGGAGAGTGAGGTACGACGTCCCAAATACACTATGTTAAACCACCTTTTAAAAAACATTGCATTCAGGCCACGTCACAAGAGCACTAATCCGGCTTTGCTTCCTGACCACAGAAGGCCTCTTGGTCAAGCACATTTCGCCCCTATACCAGACAACTGGGACAAGGCACAAGTCCCTCAAAGGGGATACAAGGTATTGTGAATACTTTCAAGCTGCATGATACACACTGTTCCAGCTAACATTCATGGCCAAGTACAGAAATTAAGTGAAATTGGTTGGAAGTAGCCAAGTCTTCCGGGACAAAAAAATCAATAGTGTTTTTTGCAGTAAAGAAATGTAAAGTTTCCAACATTAACCTAAAAATAGGACATTTCAATCTATAATTGTCCAAGTTCCATACTGTATATTGTTATCAATATGTATGCAGCATAAATTAATGTTGACACTTTGCTGATGTGGCAGTCAGATAAAACCACAGCCAGTCTGTTTACAAAAGAACATGTGTTCTTAAGGTTATTACTTTCTAAGCTGTTGGCTTGAGTGCTGATATCCTAACATGTGATCACCTGTCAGTAGCTCCTTCATTTTAGTTCTGCATTGTATTTTCATTATTATTGCAATAACCGGCTTTATTCTGAAGTGGACAAACCTGACTGCCGGGGAGGAAGGAAAAAAAACACTGTTATTGCCGTGAACGGGCCAACAACATCCACCCTGCAGACAAAAGAGTTTACAGCCACAGTTCTGACTTGCAGCTATAATTAAAACAAAACATGCACTTGATAAAACTGAGGCAGCGCCCCCTTGTGGAGAACATGCAGCCTGTGAGTTTGTGAGTAACAAAGCGTTACCGTTACTGTGGCTTGGCTTCTCTCGCACTGCTCTCATAGTGTTTTAGCCCAAAGCAGGAAGCTCATTCAGGCAAAAAGAAGCTCTAAAACGACTGTGAAGACAGAGCGAAGATTTAATGTTAGACTAACATTTGACACATGGCCAGAATCACAACTCCAAGTGAATGATAATGCTGCTGCTTAACTGTTAGGTGCGTGAATAACCACGTTAAAGGTGATGATATGTCAATGGCGTGTACACAATTTATTTGCACTGCCCCCTAGTGGCACAAAAATCAGCTATTGCAGGTAATTGTGCCTGAAAGAGAGAATTTACATTTTTGCTTTGGAAAAATAATTTCTTTAATTGCTCTGTGTTTTCCAGCGAGTCCCCCTCCCACGCTTCTCCGAGGAATATAAGGAGATTGAAGCACTTTTCTGTACAACCATGAGAGGCTTCGACATCGTCAAAATGGAGAGGATTCAGAACAAAGCTCTTTGGGATGCCTTTCAGTTGTACGTTGGTGATTTTCACATGTTTGGTCTTGAAACTTACCTTTCATACATCTTCTTAGCTAGGTTCTTACTGCATCTGCTCTTGAAACCAGCACTGTCTGGTTGTTAAAGCGAGGCTGTTTAACTATTTAAAAAAGGAATATACTTCCTCCTAAGAATGAAAAGCTGGCAGGTTTGGCTGCTATAGCAAGTAGCTAATAGCAGCTAATGATAGTTAATGTATATGTAGATGTTGCTGTGTAACGTTACTGAGCTGAGTTTACTGACTTTGTTAGCAACCATTCCTAAATGTCTTCCCCTGATGAAGTTTTGTGATTCTTCCAAAATAAAGGCAGAAAACTCACATGCAGAACAACAACGGTGGACGCAACGTGACAGAAAAAAAGCTTTTTCATGGCACTGACTCTCAATATGTGGACACTATCTGCCACACTAACTTTGACTGGAGACTCTGTGGAACTCATGGAACTGCTTTTGGCAAAGGTGAGTTGAGGAAATATTAATTCTGGGCTAAAAAGAACATTTGGACAGTTACTTAGACTAGTCCTAAAATCTTAACACTCAATGTGCACACAAATTTAAAGGGACAGATCAACCAGAAACCTATTTTTATCCTTATTCCTGTCCATCAGTATTGCTTTAGAGTGATTTACTCTTTTTTTGAAGCATCGTTGCTCTTCCCAAGACAGTAGATCTCAATTTGCTATGTGGTGTAAAAAATTGCCAAAATATTACACTTTTAAAAACAGCAAAGCTGAAACAGTTAGCTGTTTAATCAATCAACAGAAAATTAAGCAGCAACTGTTTTGATCAATTGTAAGTCTTTTATCAAGCAAAAATGCAAAAACATTTGCTTTGCTGCTTTTGTCTGATAATAAATGTAATATATTTGGGTTTAGACTCTTGGTCAAACACTCGAGAAAATGATGTATTTATAGACAGAAGAAATAATTGTGTATTTAAGAAAATATATTTCAGATCAATCAATAATGAAATAATCGTTAGTTGCAGCCCTTAGCATCTTTGCACATACACTGTAACGCCATTGCAACAAGCCAAAAATGTACAATCTCTCCCTGTGCCGAACCCAGGTAGTTATTTTGCCCGGGATGCCAAATACTCCCACAGCTACACCGATGACTCTGATGTCAAATCCATGTTTGTCTCACGGCTGCTGGTGGGAGACTACACCAAAGGGTCCTCCAGCTACCTCCGGCCTCCTTCCAAGGACGGTGGGGACATAAACTTCTTTGACAGCTGCGTAGACGACGTTATAAACCCTTCCATCTACGTTGTGTTTGAGAAGCATCAGATCTACCCAGAGTACCTGCTGCAGTACAAGACCACGCACCCGCTCGTTGACTTGTATGGTGCTGCGTCCGTGCCGCTGCTAAAACCAGTGCCAGCGCTAAAACCAGTGCCAAAACCAGTGCCAGCGCCGAGACCTGCTCCCCAGCCTACTATATTACCAGTTTCTCCACCCAGTAGACCTCATACAGCCCCAATACATCAGTTTCTCCACCCAGTAGAGCTATTCTCATACAGCACCCAAGATACATTCAGTTCTCAACCCAGTAGAGTCTCAATACAGCTCCAGTACACCAAGTTTCCCAAACCCAAGTAGAAGTCTCTAGCAGCTCCAGATACACCAGTTTCAACCCAGTAAGAGTCCTCATACAGCTCCAGCACACCAGTTTCCCAACCCAGTACATCCTCACACCAACCCAGGACATTGTCTTATCATTCCAGCACAGCCTCTTACCAGTACCGAACCACACCTGCTTCTTCACCTTCCTCACCAACTAGCACACCAAAGAAATCCTCTGATTGTGTCATTGCTTAGGGACAAAGGCAAAGTGAGGGCAGGAGTTCAGTGTGTACTTTTGGGATGGATACTGACATTAGCAGGAGCTGAATGGAGCTTTTAGCAAATATATTTGGGTAAATTTGGTGATTAATGAATGTCACTACTATATTTACCGTGTGCAATGAGTGGTAGAGTGGCTTTTATGCAGCACGTGACATTCATACCTATTTAAAGATCTTTATATCCTAACTCTAACCTTAGCTTCCAAGTTCACAGGAGCTAAGTTTTCGTTAGATAAGTAGTTGGTGGCGCTAATTATCCAGTCGGATGCCAGTAAACCACTGCAGAAGAAGAGGGTGTAATTAAAACCACTAATCAAACAAACAAATGAACATTAACCACGTGGAAAAAAATTACTAGTTTGACATTTTTGTCTGTTTCGTGTATTAATTTGAGGAAGTTTAGTCTCCTCATTGCTTCACTGATGTGACGTTTATGTCTGCTGCTATTGTTAGTGTCTCCAGTGGAGCCGAAGCTTCACTTAATCGCATGTTTCATGTGCGTTTTGAGTTACTCACTTTATCTATTTCCATTTTGCACCAACTTAATACACCAATACGCAACTTTTTTAAATATTTCCGGCGGTTCCCCACAGGTTTTTTATGCTCAAATGGAGAACCTTTAAAAAAACAAAATGCACTTATTGAGTATGATGTGTCATATTTAGTCATTATTGCATTAAGAGATTCCGCTGCATAGCTCCCTAACCAGTAGAGGGCGGCAAACTCCTATGTCGACGCTAAAAAATTTGCAATAAAATGAATAGCTTTATTTACAAAATGTAAATGAGTTTTGTTGTGTTTTTTTTCACACAGTGTTTAAGGTGTATGTTATTGATTATTTCAAGCACCACTTGCAGATTTTGTGTAACAAATTCCACTGCAACTAAAACGATTGCTGGTTTCCAAATTGTTGTATAACCCATGTGTAACACTTGATTTTTTTGCTTTAACAATAAATGTAACATACATGTCAACACCACACACAAACACTGTTTTATTTTCCAGCCTTCTTTGTTTCTGTTGGCGCTGCAGTTCTCTCCGTCTGTTTCATAAGTGAATTGAAAACGCCACCAGCGATCGGGTCGGGCCTCTTAGTGAAATGAGGCAGGGCATGAAAAATGATCAATATGGTTGCCGGTGCTTCCTGTGACATTAGACATTAGGCCTGCAAATCACCCCCTGCCTCCCATCAACTTACACACACATGTATTCATACACTAGAAACCGCCTCCTGTTGTGTTTCCTGACAAACTGCAGTGTGAATGTGAATATGTTCATGAGATTTGTGCAATATCTGCATTGAATTATACTACGCTTGCTTTATGCAGTGATTACTCTATGAATATGAAGACATTCATTTGTTCTAAACCTTAAGGCATTTCTCTATTTCACGCTGAGTTTTGCAAGATGTAGGCATTTTGCCAAATTACAAGACCTCGAAACCCTGCTCCACATGTACTCTCATCAGTACAAATTGTAAACAATTCTGACAAAAATTCACTGAAGTGAACTGCTTTGGTTTGGACCAAAGATTAGTACACACAAACTGTGTGTACTGTGTGGTGTTACTCGAATAATGAAATCCACAGGAATAATCAACCGGATTCTGTGTTCCCCCTCAGCTCTACGGTGCCATGGTAGCTTTCAGCTTGTTGTTTTGGTTTTGCTGCCAGCTACGTTTTTTTTAAATATATACATATAAATCTTGTGCAGACATCATAAAAACTCTCAGGTCTTTTGGAGCTCTGTATGTTATATTAAACCATGTTGTCTACTGTATGCTGTAACATACATGTTCATAATCATCAGTCACTACTATTAGTTTAGTTGCTACAGTTGTTGCTGTGCACCTGTCTGTCTGTCTCTCTCTCTCTCTCTCTCTCTCTCTCTCTCTCTCTCTCTCTCACCCCAACTTGAGAGAGCTAGTAAGGAAAGGGAGTGAGCCATAGGCTAACTGTAAGCTTTATCTGTCTATGAGGTTGTATGCTAAGGATGCTGCGTGATAAGACTAGTAACTGAGTCCTTACTGTGCTTAGAAGCCTAGCCTAGTACAGAACAAGGGTATGGAAAGCGTGCACCAGGTGGGGCGTATAAATCTAAAGTACATTTTCCCCCCCTTTTTTCTTAATAAGCAAACTAAATGGTAGATAAAAAAAGAGAAGATTACTCAGATGAACGAAGAGATGGGAACAATCAGGTTGATTACGGATTATTTGAATACCATTTGACTATTTTGATGACTGAGTAATCATAATTTTTTTCACGATTCAGCTTTTCAGATTGTAGGATTTTGTGCCTAATTATAACCTTCACAAAATAATACTTTTTTTTATTAGCCCCCATTCTATTTCAACTTGTTACACATGACACAAAGAAAATACAGATTAAAAATGTAATACGACATCAAGTTAAGATTTAGATTTAATCAAAACTAAGGTCCATACAACATCTTGGACAGCAACTACACATTTTTTTGAGTTTGACAATGGTCTGGGACCTAACTTTGAAATCGGGGTGAGGGGTGTTTCAAATAAAAGCCTACAATGAACGTTTTGACATTGTAGGCTTTTATTTTGAACACCCTCACCCCGTTCTTCAAGTTAGGTGTCCAGACCAATTGGTTCAAACTCATGTGTAGTTTTTGCTGTCCAGATGTTGTATGGGATCTTAGTTTGATTAAATCTAAATCTACACTTGATGTCTTATTACATTAAATTTAAATCTGTATATTATCTTGCTGTCATGTGT